GCACAGGACAGATTTCTAGGCCATTTGGCATCTCTTGTTAATTTCCTTAGGAACAGCCTGCTGGTTTCTGCTGGTTTTCCTTTTTTTCACAGCCTTGCCTGGACTGCTCTTTTCGGGCTTTATAACAGCCACCCTAACAGACATAAGGGAGGCTTTGTGGTTTTGGTTTGCATTTCCTTGGTGATTAGTGATGCCGAACACCTCTTCATGTAGCTCTTGGGCATTTATTGTCTTCATCTGAAAATGTGTATCCAAGACCATTTTCTTATTTTTAAGTGGAGATGTTTTTCTACTATTGAGTTTTAAGTATTAACCCCTTTTCAGATATATGATTTGCAAATATTTTCTGTGAAAGAGCTTTTTCTACATACCAAAGAATAAAATTAGATCCTTACCTTTTGTATGAATGATGTCAAAACAGATAAAAGACCTAGGTGTATAAGACATATAGCCATAGAAGAAAATACCAGGGGAGCATACCTTGATATTGGCCTTAGCAATGGTATAACCAAAGTGTAGGTTACCAGATAGAGAGATTGGTAGGTAGGTAGATAGACAACTATCGCAGATAAAATTTTAACAAAATAAGGGTTTGTCGATGATTTGTGGCATATAAGTATATTTCCAATTAATTTTCAAAAGTAAAAACAATCAGCAGGACTCCTGGTAACATGTAGTTATTATTGGCTGTGTGGATTAAATGACTAAAGATTCCTCAGATGTTCTCAGATGTTGCATTTTTCTCGGATGTTCCTCATGTGTCCCTGCACACAGTCTCACACAGGGCAACAGAATGTGGTTGGTTTGAATGCATTAATAATAAATTGAAAGTCTCCAGTATTGTGTCAGTGTCATAGTAAGAAAAGAAGTCAGAACACTTTTCCGTGATGTCATTTTACCCAGAGTGAGCTCAGATTTGAATTCTCTACTTTACTGTGTCTTCTGTCGTCCCTGTCTGTCTGTCTGTCTGTCATGTGAATCTAAATCTGTGTCTGCCTGAATGCTGTCTTGTGAATCTGTCCCTGACCCTGTGTGTCTATCTGAGTGAGTGTGTCCCTGAAAAAGGGCTTTGCTCTATTTACTGAACAGCACAGAAAGCATCTCATGGGGAAGGAATACACATATATAGAAATTTGTAACAGTTTTACAGGGGATTAAGTCGCTCATGACGACTGCCCAACTGACCCAGATAACAAATAGTATTACAAACATCGCTGTTTACCAAGCAGTATCTGTATGTTCCATGCAGTGTTTATGGTGGATATTCACTTGTCAGGTTGCTTTCAGCCCTGTTTGCTGTTTCCAGCCAATGATGGTCATAGCACATGGAAGAGTACGTAATTCAAGATTATAGGTTGTAAAAGTTGATTCCATGGAAAATCCAAGGCAAGCAAAGCTGGTTGTTACATTGTTCTCTTCTAGGCAGGTTAAACAGGCGTGCTTTGGAGACAGAAAGGGACAGAGAGAGAGACACACACACAGTTGGACAGCAGTTTTAGGTGACTCCAGGTGATATTGACTCTGTGAGGTCCAACAAAAGCTCCAGTTTCTTAAAATGTAAGAGATAATTTTTTTAGTCACCTGTATGGCCACAGTTAGGTAAGCCAGTAACCAAGAAAAGGAAAAAAAAAAAAAGCCAGATCCAGCATGTCAAAGTTGAAGCTGTGTAATTCTCGTGTGCATAGCCCATCTAACCTTCAGAGTTAATAGTCATTATTCGCAGTTATTACAGTCTAAAAGATAGAAGATTTGTTGTTAGAGCAGCTGACTCTGTGCGGTGCAAGCTACCTCTAGGTTATTACTTCTTTGTCCCTGTGATGAAACACCATGACCAAGGCAGCTTACATAAGAAAGGGTTCATTTGAGGCTTACAGTTTCAGAGGGCTAGGGTCCATCGCTATCATGTCAGCAAGCAAGCCAGCATAGGCAAGCGGGCAGGTAGACATGGCGCTGGAGCAGTTAGCTGAGAGCTTACATCCTGATCTACTGCGATGAGTCAGAGAGAGAGAGAGACAGACAGACAGACACACAGAGAGAAACCCAGATAGAGATAGAAAGGGAGAGAGAGGGACACATACAGAAAGAGACAGACAGACAGACAGACAGACACAGAGAGAGACTGAGACAAATGTCCCAACCTGAGGCTATGGGGGACAGCATTTCCATTCACACTACCACAGGGACAGTGGAGGGTCTGGGCTGGAGCTGCCCATTTGTGTTTTTTTTCTCATGGCTCCCAGAGTGTGAGTTGGGGAGGGGAAGATAAGCGAGCCATACCTCAGGTAACAGGATTGGGAAGCACACGGGTAGCTTCCAGGATTTGAAATGTAGCATTTTAGAAAAATAAAGTTCAATTCTGAATGAGACTAGGTAAATTTTTAAGGTCTCTGTAGATTGAAATAATTCTGATTTTTGTTTCAATGTATTAACAAGCGGCATATTTGGAAGATGTTTTCGCGGAGTTCAGCGTAGTGTAACTTTAGTGGTGACCTATATAGTAACTGAAGTCATTCCTTTATTTATTAGGGGTAGATGGTCTCCTGTTTGTCTACCTCTGTTTAGTCTCTGCTTTTTTACAGTATTTACTTCTTACTGCTTAAAGATATGACCAAGGCCTTTGAAGATAAGCAATGGCAATGGTGTGAGACCTTTTTCTTGATGTGTATTGTAGAGGTTCCAGAAACTTCAGCAGCTGCAGTGCGGAGGACTTTGAGAAGTTAACTTTGAATAAGGGAGGGAGCTGCCTTCTCAACGTCCCGAAGCCTGACGAAGCTTACAGCGCGCCCTTCTGTGGTAACAAGCTGGTGGACCCCGGGGAAGAGTGTGACTGTGGCACACCCAAGGTCAGTTGAGTCTTCGGCTTTGCTGTGTGAGATTACCGTGAGGTTTGCTGGGCGCCTCGGGCCGAGGAGTGACTGTGGGCTGTAGTGGTAAAGTGAGGATTACCACTGTTGACTAGCGTGGCTACGTCTCTGGGACCGGTCAGCTCCTGGGGCTCTACCCCACGATGCCGTGACTTCAGGCAAGCACCGTGGTACCGTGCTTTTCAAATGGTACCTATCTGCCTGGTATTTTTTATTGTAACTATTGGATTATTTGTTACTGGCACTATCTGTACCTGGTTAGTTCTTGAAGTGTTCACCATTTTGGTCATGCCATTCAAGCAGTATTTGTTCAGCCGGACTCAGTTACTGAGTGAATTTCAGCTGTTTCATCCTTCCGCATCCTTAGCATCAAAATCCTTCCCCCTCCGAGCACCAGTATCCTTCTTTAATGGTCCTTTACCGTGGACCTGACTCCAGGGCCCTTAGCTCTGTCCACCATCATTGTCACTGCACGCTGGGCACAGTCCCCTTCCCCTTGGACTGCCCCTTGGGCTGCCATTGGATCCAGAACATGCTTGTTCAGATGTGAAGACTACTCTGTTATTCACAGCCGTTTTCCTTGCCCAACCAATCTTGGTCTGGAAAGCCTTCCCGTATCCTAAGAGAGAACTGTTTTCTAGTCTATGTGATTGAGGCATTCCATGACTTCTGTTCAGCCCTTTGGAGTCTCCTGACCAACCACTCGAGAGATTTCTCATGCCTGGAACTGGGGCTCTCTTAGGTCGTTTATGGCTCTCTCTCTCTCTCTCTCTCTCTCTTTCTTTTTAAATCAAGTCACTCAAGACTTGTTGTGTGGTAGTCATTAACTATCTGAGTGATGAGTTCTTTTTTTTAAAGATTTATTTATTTATTTATTATGTATACAGCAGGTATGACTGCAGGCCAGAAGAGGGCACCAGATCTTGTTACAGATGGTTGTGAGCCACCATGTGGTTGCTGGGAATTGAACTCAGGACCTCTGGAAGGGCAGTCAGTGCTCTTAACCTCTGAGCCATCTCTCCAGCCCCCATTTATGGCTCTTGAGGGGATATTATCACCTGAGAGTTGTCACTTCCTTTAAGCTATAAATCTAAAGGCGGCAGTAGTGGCACATGCCTTTAATCCCAGCACTCGGGAGGCAGAGGTAGGCGGATCTCTGTGAGTTCAAGGCCAGCCTGGTCTACAGAGTGAGTTCCAGGCAGACACCAAACTATACAGAAAAACCCTGTCTCGAAAAAAAAAAAAAGGCTATAAATCTATATATGCACACACACAAATATTATGTATATATAGCTTTTAGATAAACCTATGGCAATCTATTCCCTGTGCCTTTTCCCAGCAGCCTTAGTGTTCTGTAGCCCCGCCTCCCTCCCTCTCCTTCTGTATGGCCCTCCTCCATGCTCCCAGGTAACCCACCCCCATTTCCTTAGGTTTTGCTGTGCACCCCCGGTCTCTACATCTGTCGAGTAGGCTCCCATGTACTCATTTGCCCTCTGTGAATCTTGTGGTGTATGTTCAACTCTTGACCTTCATTTGAAAAGTTGTCTTATTTGCTATGGCGTTCTGTTTTGTTTATCTTGGACATGTGTCTTTTATTAGATACGTGATTGGTAAACGTCCTGCTTGTTTGTTTGTTTATTTATTTATTTATTTATTTATTTATTTATTTATTTATTTATTTATTTATTTATTTATTTATTCATTTATTGGCTGGGTGTGAGATTTACTACCGAACATGATTTGGTAGTGTACAGGCAGGCACTGTGGTGTAGAAGCTTCAGGAATGCAGGATTTGCCACTTGTCCAGGCTCTGGACTGTGATTGGGGATATATTTGACCCCACAGCCATCAGGAATGAGCAACCGTGCCTTCAAACTCACCTGCATTAAACGTGGTGAAGCCCTATTTCTTTGAGATGTGAGTCTTCTTGTGGCCAGGGAACTTGAACTTAGCTCTACAAAGGAGCCTCAGTACATGTTCCTTATTCTGCAGCTTGGTGCAGATGGACATGACGACCTGGCCACTGTGAACCCTGGCCGCTGTGCCCTGGGGCTTCCCAAAGGCACCATGCCCACCTGTCTGGAGCCTAGATTGGGGACACAACATTGAGATCAGAGACTTGAATGGCTGCTAGAAAATCGTCTCCAAGGTCCCTGGGGGCAGCCCATATAGGCTACAGACTGCAAACACTACCAAGGACGCTGCTGTTGGCTACCATTGCACACCGGGCCCCCATGGGGAAAGAGACCCCGTCAGCTTAAGTAGCTGCAAATGTAAATGCCCTCTTAACAGTGTGGTGTCTTAGAGCACAGAGCTTTGATTGTGATGAAAGCCACTGTCACTCTGTGCTTTTATGGCCGATGTTCTGGGTGCTCCCCCTTGGTACAGATTTTTTCCTAGGAGTTTTATAGTTTTGGGCTTTATATTTAGGTCCATGATCTATCTTGACTTATTTTCTTCTCTGTTTTATTTATTTGTGTCTTTGAAAGTGTAGATTGTAGCTCATTTGTTTTCATTTTTGTTATGTGATAAAAATGATAATGACCCTGACTTAATCAGTGTACATTGATTATATGAATTTACACTGTCTCATGGATATGTAAAATTACTATATGTTAGTTAAAAGGGAAAGTTAATTTTAGGACTTTATTGTGAAATAATTGTTGGCAGATAAGAGGTTGCGGAACAGTATATAGAGCTCCATGTTCTCCTCTGCCAGTCTCCCCACTCGGTGCAAGCTTACAAGGGTATAGCGTATTTATTGGGGTTAAGATTTCTATATTCACACGGGTGTCTGTGGGTGGGAGGTTGGAGGTGAAATGTAACCGTGGTGGCCCAAAGCATGGTGACAGAAGCTGAGAAAATGCTGCTCTTTATAATGGCATGTGTGCTTAGCATGTCCAGGGCACCGAGGCCAATCTTCACCTCCTACCCCCCAAGAAAAGGAATAAAGGAATAGTGTGCCTACCCAGAGAAAAGAACCGTCCCATGAGCAGTGGGACCCAGAGCAGGAAGAGAAAGGCATCCCTGGGTAGTTACTTCTCTGTGGTCTTCAGAATTCACGTCAAAGCATAACCTCCAGAGAAGCCGCATTTGGCAATGGGGTCTCTGAGGAAGTAATTAAGACTAACACTGGAGGGCGGAGCCCTGATTCATTAGGATCAGTGTCTTTAGCAGAAGCAGCAGCCATTTCCCTAGCTTTCTCTCCAGTGCGAGCACTGAAGATGGGCCACGTTGTGTGTGCCAGGCATCAAGAGAGGGTCCCCTGAAACTCTCCGTGAGAGCCTTCTTGCTTTTCAGAACTGTGAGAAAATAAATTTCCATTCTTTAAGTCCCTCCGTGTTTGGTATTTTCTTCTGGAATTACCAGCTGTCTTGAAATACGTTGACAATTAAATACTTGCAGCTGAAGAGGCTGATGTGTCTCCAAGCACAGAGCTAGCGGGAGAGAATCGGCTCTGGCCGGGGTAGAATGACATCACAGGACAGGAAAAGAACGTCACTGATGGCCACCGCTACCAAGGACTCGTTATTTACTGGGGACCGTTTTCTGTTCGCAGGAATGTGAGTCGGACCCGTGCTGTGAAGGACGCACTTGTAAGCTCAAGTCATTTGCTGAATGTTCATATGGCGACTGTTGTAAAGATTGCCAGGCAAGGAATTCCCCCTGTCAGGAACAAATCAGAGAAGGGAGTTGATCTGTGGAAAGGCGGCTTTCGAGATCGCTATCTACCGTTCTTAATGATATGATCATTTTGTATTCCATCCCACTTCTGGGCATTTTATTTTTCTGTAAGGGGCCTATTGAGTTGACTTGTGTGTTTTGGGTACTGTGGATTCAACATAAGGCATTGTGTTTGCTGGGTAAACACCCTACTGATAAGTTACGTCCCCATCTTTTATTTTCTCTCTAAAGTAACCTATATTTGGTAGAGAAAATTCAAAAGTACCGAAGTATGGATTGTAGAAAACTAAGGGTTGGGGAGTTAACTGATAAAGAGGATCTGAATTTGATCCCCAGAACCCTTTTAGAAACCAAACCCCAAACCAGACGACTGGTAGCATGCCACGCGATCCCATGATCCCAGCGGGGGACGTGGAGCTCTTCCAGGATTGACTGGAGGATTGAGCTGAGGTGGTTTCCTGTCCGTGCCTCCCTCACCCAGCCATGCTTCCTCACCAGGAAGCGCTTTACGGCTACCTCATCTCCCCAGCCCTGATGGGTTGAGCAGTCAATCGGTCGCTTCAGGCTGCCCTTGACTCTGTCATTGTCCTAGTTAGTACAGTGCTTCTGCCGCGTTCCTTGTGATTTCATTTAATTTGCATTTCTTTTGAATACCTGTGAGGGTTTTTTCATTTTATAATATTTATGAATTGCCTGTTATGGGGTTTGTTCACTTTTGTGTTGGGTGACGTAATCTTTGTTGTTGGAACCTTTATACATGCACCGTGGTTTTAACTTTGATGAATTTGCAGAGATTATCCTGATATTCCTATTTAATTGGAATCTCCTTCCCTTAGTTCCTTCCAGGCGGCTCCATGTGCAGAGGGAAAACCAGTGAGTGTGATGTCCCTGAGTACTGCAATGGCTCCTCCCAGTTCTGTCCGCCGGATGTCTTCATTCAGAACGGATACCCTTGCCAGAATAGCAAAGCCTACTGCTACAATGGCATGTGCCAGTACTACGATGCACAGTGTCAGGTCATCTTTGGTTCAAGTAAGATACCTTCAGTTGATCGGTTGATGTCATCATCTGTTTGCTTTAGGTTTTTCACTGTGGAGATTCTTGGGTCCTCATCCTTGTTCGTCCAGTTGTAGTCAAGCTTAGGAATGTCACGTGTTTATTGAATCAATTGATGCTGTGTGCTCCTCTCCCTCTTTCCACTTCGTATAACACACGGTATCTATTTATAGGCACACACACACACACACACACACACACACACGCAGGATATTTGGGAGGGTGGGTAATGAGCACTGTACCTAGAACCTCACACACGCTAGGCAAGCACATCATTGCTTTGCTGTGGCTTCAGCCTCCAGTTTTCTAGTTTTAATAATAGAGGCTCTATGGGTCTGATGTTTGCATTCACCACTTAAAATGTCCTCGTGATCCATCTGTATATCTAATATATCACAACATATTAGAGTATTCTGTCTGTATTGATGCATATATATCACAACATATTAGAGTATTCTGTTAGTTAAGTAGACCCTGATTTAGTTTCTCATCCCTGTGTGTATTAAGTGTGTCTTTGTGTATGGGTGAGCGTGTGTGTGTGAGTGTGTGTGTGAGTATGTGTGTGTGAGTGTGTGTATGAGTGTGTGTGTGTGTGTGTGTGTGTGTGTGTGTGT